TCTCTCTCTCTCTCTCTCTCTCTCTCTCTCTCTCTCTCCCTCCCTTCAATGAAGAATAGAATTATCGTAGATATATTATACATACATCTCTCTCTCTCTCTCTCCCGAGACATTTCCCACGTAACCATTCCCCACGGGGCTCTTCTTCGTCGTGCAAAATCGATTTCTGGAGCGGGTACTCTCCACACGCTTTTACATTATCGAGTAATTACACAATGAGAAATTTATATACATACACGCTCTCTGTTACCCCTCCCCCCTTTCCCCGTGCCTTCCTTTCCGAGAATCGTTCCGTACGAAATGTCGCGTCTATTTATATGGCAAATCGGAGATCTCCTCGAGGATATCGGCGATCAAAAAAATGACAAACTTGGAAACTCATATCTGTCGCGACAACACGAGGGAAAGGTGTTTCCGCACCTTTCACCTGTGCGACGCGGCTTACTCGAAATCAGCGGTTCGTCTAAACAAGTTTGAGTTATTTCTCTGGGTTCTTTTTTACGACATATATTATATGACACTATATGAACACATAAATCCTATAAATTACATTTATATGTTTGAACGTTATTAGAAGCGAAGACAACGCAAGCTCAATTTCTCGCAAATTAGAATATATCGTATTCTCATGTTTCTTCCACCTCGTTCGCACAATCTCAGGCAGAATCTGTGTATGACTTCCTATTTGTCGAAAAATTATGCATACCCCCGCCGTCGTTCTCCTTACACCTTATTACTTAATGTACTTTGGCATTGAAATTTTATCAGACATCAGGAATCTCAAAATTTGTATCATCGCACACTTCTTGATATTTGAAGCAGAATAGCTCGAGAAGGTGAGAGATCTTCAGCAAAAATAGATAAAACTTAGATTATTATGGCATATAGTACTTATATAGAAGAGGACGTTCCTTTCCTTTTTCTTACTTTTTTTTTTTTAGCTACGATTTTCGTGACGTTACGTGCTTGCAATTAGTAATTTATTTCGTTCGATTGCACGTAGAGATGAGTCAGTCTGTATATTTTAGGAGGAATCTTTCCATTGACGAGCTTACAAGTTCGGAGCGGCTAGATTTCACTTTGTATGCCTATGCAACGAAGCCACATCGAGTCGAGTACAATTTACATATTTTACATGTAAATATCATACACGGTGGGAGTGAAGACTTACTGCAAGCTGATGGAGATTAGATAAGCACCTAGAAGCCCTTTTATAAGCCCTTTTTAACAGTCACTAAAGTCACTTCGACAAATTTGTAAGCACCTCTGCAAAAGCTCCTGCGACAAACGAACGAATCAAACGAGATTTCATCTGGCAGAATTGAAAATCTCGCTAATCAATGGCATTATCAAACCGTACTCTCGATTTCGCCAATTTTCCGCAGGAAATTTTTGCAAAATGAGACGAGGATAATGCTACTTGCCAAACTGAAACGCGCACCGCTTCGCAGTGACGTTCAGGATATCTCAAGGGATAGACTACCATCCCGAATAGACAGATTGTGCAAAATGTTCGCTATAAATTTTGTTAATCGCATAGCAGGATAATGGATAACGGGATCGCAACTGGCAGAATAGTAATGGTAGATTAGCGATTAGATGATTAGAAACTGTGTAAGATCCGCCGTTCTGTAATCGTTTTATTGCACTTGAACGAAATTATACGGCGCATTTGTTTTCCGTCGTCAATCAGACACTGTCAGCGAAACACGATCTTCTCTGAGCGAATCTACTGCCAAACTGCCAGCTAATATTTTGCTAATTTACAGGATAACTAATGGGAAGAGGAAATTTGCCAACGCGATATAGACGTGCCGTAAGAATTTCGAATTTCAAGCGTTATTTCTCTCATATATCGACATTCTACACGCATTAAATTTTCGTCGAAGCGGGCGGGGGATAATGTGATTGGGTTCTTTTGAAGTATTAAAAGTAGGATGTCTGTCTAGAGAGTGCTTAGAGAATGTCTAAATCGAGTGCGACCTTACGTCTACGAAGTCTAAAATCTTTTAGATACACAGCCATTTCTCAACATTTACGAACGTATAACCAAGAAAGCGAATGATCAAGCGTGAACTTATGGAGAACTGGATAATTTTCACGAGCTCGTGGTGGACTACCATTCGCGAAAAGTGAGAAAAATAAGTCCGGTTTTTCCAAAAAATGAGATTTGCTGCATTCGTCAAAGAATCGCCTCGAATCTTCGAAACGGATCAAGCTGAAGACAATGTCCTTTTGTATATCCCTCGCAAAGGGTCACTTGATAAGCGTGTCGCGCGTTAAGGACTTTGAAGCTTTGAAAAATATCATAGCGGTGAGTGCGCGCTACGTTATAGTTTTGTTTTCGTAATATAGCTGAATATCAATATCATAGAACAGCTTCGAGAGTAAGCGGTATGTAGGCATACAAGATCTACTTGGTGACATTTCTATCTCAATAACACGCGGTTATCCACAGAAGTCATCTTAATACATATACATACATACATACATACATATATATATACATAGGGTGTCCCGCCTATCTCTCCGGTGTATCTCTTAAAGACGGATTCCTGAGGTAATTTAAAGAAAAAAATCCTAATGCAAAAATGTCGAGGCTATAATAATATATTACTTTATAATACAATACTATATAATATAATATAGGCTATATAATATAATATTTTTTAAATTATAAACGATTAAAGTTGACCAATTATATTGGCTAAAGTACGCGCGCTCAGGCATGGTACAGCATACAGATGCATGCACATAAGTGAAAATTTGCAAAAGATATGAAATTAGTTGTAAATCTCTGAGAGAAACGTAAAATGTGTGACAGCTTATTGATTTTCATAAATGTATTATGTGATATTTTATTCATAACATTTTGATGAAATTGTTATTATTTGCGATATGTTTATTTAAATGATAAAAAAGGCAGATTATTATACATACGTTTGTTGAATGTATGGAACTTTCGTATCAATATTTGGAAAAGGGACGACATGTGCATGCACCTGTACCATTGTGTGTTGTACCTGAGCACGCGTACTTTAGTATAATTGATCAACTTTAATCGCTTATAATTTGAAAAGTATTATAGCCTCGCCATTTTTGTATTAGGATTTTTAATTCAAATTACCTCAGAAATCTGTCCTTAAAAGATAATGCGGTAGTGGCGGAACACCCTGTATATATTTGTATATATTTATATATGTATTTATATATATTTTATATATATATATATACATATCGTAAAACAAATTTATATATATCTACTCGTCTGAAAAAACTTTTCCTCTTTCTTTCCCCTTTGTGAATATTGTGTTGCTGTTTGCGCGCTCTTCTATATAATTACTACGGCATTTATCACGAGACTTACGCGCTCCGAAGTTCTACGGTAGATAGTAATTTTAGTACAAATTAATACACTCACCGGCACCGCGCGCCGCGAGCACATTCATCGGCCTTAAAGATAAAAAAGATTAAATAAACGCTTTTAGCTTAAAGTGTCTCCACGATAGAAGGAGATCCTTTTCTTTTATAAATATTACTACGTCATTAACTATGTAATATACAGTTCCAGCCCCTTGCTCCAGCCGTTGGTAAAGAGCTTTTGTGCTATTTATAATCATGTGCAACTGCATTATCTGCGTCGCCTATCATCTTCCTTGGCGCGAGTATAATGTGATTCTCTGTAACATCCAGCTACTGAGTGTCACGAGCGAGTATCTTCCTTTCGCTCAATCGGCATGCTACGCGAACGGGTCCACAACGCAAAAGATAATTCGCGGTGGTTAACAACAATCGGGAGTAATTCCCACGATTTCGCAACGGGAGATCAAACGCTGACGTCACATACGTGTGGGATACATTGGCAGGAGGAAAGGGCGCTTACTAAATTTGGAAAATTTATGTCCGTGTTATAGAGAATCTCATTGGTTGTGGTACTATTACGTTATATTTCTTACAATAATCAATAATTATATAAATTATGCTTGAGTAAATATTTAATAACGTTTCTGCGACGTACCTATTATGTAGTCTCGTTTACTAAGCAGGAGCTGGTGAACGTACGAATAGTCTTCCATAAGAATCGAAACACAAAGCGACTTTGCATCGAATAACCTGTACAATAAAGATAGCAGATAGTATGGTAGTGGATGGCGGATGTATTGTCTGTTCACTACGCATCAGCCAGGCAACTGAACGCTTTTATATGTACACCGGAGACTCCTGGCCGGTTAACAGCCTAAACATCGACGTGGGCATCGTTTTCATCAAAATCTAAAAAACAAACAATCATACCACACCGTGTATATACATATATATATATATGTATGTATGTAGAAACAAAATTCTGCTTCTTGCGAGGTCGAATCGAGCAGAGAAGTCGATCACGAAAGTGATGATGAGATGATGAATAAAAAAAAAAAAACAGGAAGAGCGTCTGTGCGACGCGTTGTTCTACGTACCTCTCCCACCGATGTGGCCAGAAGATTAACAATCTTTTCGTGCGGTACAGCAACAACACTCTGATTATTGATTTCAATTATCCTATGTCCCACCCGCACGCCGCCCCGTTCGGCGATACCGCCTCTCAATAGACTACATATCACTCCGTTCTGTACACTAAACCCTAACTGATACTTCGTATCAGGTCTCTTGATTTTCACTTCAACAACGGGTGCGCACGGCACGACAGTCAGCTTGACGACCGTTTGATTCTTCGAATTCTTTATGTAAGTCTGACACGTGGACAAAGGCAGGCCGACTAATGAGACGCCATTAATCGCTATTATCTGATCGCCAATGTTAAGCTGTCCGCAACGTGCGGCGGCGCCGGCCGGCGCCAGATTCGCTATGACTACGGTTGGCAGCATCGAGCCCCATCCAGATTCAACGATCACCACACCGAGAATCTCACCCTTCGCTTTCGGTACCACTACCTGAAAGTAGAACGACGCTGACTCACATACTATGTATTATATTACAAGAAGAAGAGGGAAAGTGTATATGCAATGCATCATGTATTTTTTTGTTCAATTTACAAAATCAACGCGGTGTGACAATGATGGGGCTCAAGAAACACACAAGTTCGTGGTCAAAACTTGTCGACTTGAAAAAAATATTTCAGAAGAAACTCATTTGGTTTTTAATGAGACACTCGATGATAACCATAATTTAATAACCATAATTTTAGATACGATAGATATGAAGACTTTTTAAAACGAAAAAATATTTTAGAAAACTCATTTTTAATGAAACATCATTATGGTTATTAAGTTGTGGTGATAACCACAACTTAATAACCATAATTTTGGACACGATAGATACGAAGATTTTTCGAAACGTGTAATCGTATTTAAAAATCGGCCGCATTCAGAGTTTCGACCATGGATTTGGATGTTCGTCAAAGTATCCTCCCTATCCTCCCAGCTAATGGGATATAAATCCTCGTTGCCGGATTAAAAACTAGGAAGGACAAAAGATCTTACAGAGTTATATCGAAAACTTACCTCTTTCTGCATCTCTTTTTTCGCAAACATTTGCAACTCGTCGCCGAATATCTCCTGCGAATTGAGCACTTCCTGATAATCCATCTCCTTGACGAAACTATGGTCTTCTATCCCGTTTGCCTTTAGGAACTCCATATAAGCTACTTGGAATGCTTGTCCGATACTTTGTGCTATGAATTGAGCTTCCTCACTCTCGAAAACGTGGCAAATCATCTTCGGAGTTCTGTTAATTTTCGGCACCTCCTCCATCTCGTGCGGCACGAAACGTCGTCGCGCCATCAGCACTACCAAGTCACCGATATCTGCTATGTATGAAATCGTGCGTAAAGCATGATCCATCATAATCTCTTTCAGATCGGTGTTGAGCACCATGATTTTTTCCGTCGAGATGAATAGGTCCACTTCTGTGCTCGGTTGAGTGTCACCGTCCGGTGCCTGGATAAGCAATCAACAAAAAAACTTTCGTTTTAGAAAATTTTAGATCAATGTTGAACCCTAAGAGCCATGGCACATAGAAATACGTAAGCAATAAAACTGACCTGAAACGTGAAACCATCATGCTGAAATTCTTGACTGCGACTGAACAATTCGTTTACTGTCCAGTTTTACAGCTTACGTTCAGTTTTACTAAATTTGGTTTAGCTAACCAAGTGAGAGAAGGAAGACAAATAAAAGCCAGTCGCGGTTAGTGCGAACATTAAACTTGGGATGGGAGTCCATCCTAAATTATCAATATTAATTAATACTAATATTTATCTCCAAAAAAAATTTATCTATGCACATTATTTTGCGATTCATTTTACGATGTTAATATTAATTTTAGGTGTTACGAGAAATATTGTCTCTTAACCAGAAGGCTTAGTTTAGCTAAGTTTATCTCACGTTAAGCTTATATTTTTCTCTGTGCCATTCGCTCAATTTGCACAGATCTCGCGGGGGTATACGTACCAACGCCTGTCACAAGGAAGCAGCATGTGTGACAAAGTAAAAAGAACGAGTAATTAATTACGGATATTCGAGCCTTATAAACAAGTTGAACACATACAGCACTTAATCCACTAATAACGTAAGTAACTGGTGCACGAACAAATGTGAACGGTGTAAAGTTAAGCGTCATCATCAACGGCGCTGTCAAACCTGAGAGCTTGACAGATAAGGGTCCGATGAAATTCATCTGACCTCGGTTTAATTCGTAAAAGAGATAGAGACACAGAGAGAAAGAGAGATAGAGAGAGAGAGAAAGAAAGAGAGAGAGAGAAAGACTCTTCCACGTCGCTACGTCAATTGAACGAAGAGGATATATGCGTGCATCATAAAATGCGGTAACAAATACCGGTCTTGGTGATCGAAAAGTGCAATTACGGGGGAGATTGCGATAAATTTAGCACCGGAGTAAAGTAAAGAACGAACGTCAAGCCGATAGGACGGCCGTATGAGTTGAGTCGAATCTTTTTTTTTTTTTCTTTTCTTTTCTTTACGCTACGCGTGTCTCGTCGGTCACTATAAATCAATATACAGAAGAGGGATGAAACGAACGACTGCACGAGCGACTGCTCTTTTCAATTGAGAACGAAAAGGCAGTCAGTCGGCAGATTTATACACAGCGACAGGGTGGAGGTTCAGGCTGAGGGGGTGGGTAGATTGGTGATTGCTGTTTTGGGAAGATGAAGGGCAAGGCGGACCTTTATTTTCGTCACTGCCTCCTCCACCATGTGGTTCTTAAGGCGCTTACGCCGTTTACGTCCCCCTTCCTCTTCCACCTCCACCGACCCGAGAAACTGTAGTCTGAAAACGGTCGTGGGCCCCAAGCAGCCACTGATCGGGGCCAGTTTCGGCTGGGCCCCAAGCGCGTGCGACTCGGACTGGCCCCCACCAGAAGCGCTCCCTATTAGTTCTTCGCTCGAGTCGCACTCGTCCTCCTCTAGGCTTCCTTGCGAGGCAATGCTGCAGCGACCATAACCATGCTGCCCCCCATAGTTTAAGAGTGTTGCCTGCATCGGCACTGGCCCGTCCTTCCGTTATGCACGCGCCAAACAAACAAACAAACAAAGGCTCTGCTAGTCACACATCGCCACGCACCACCGATTGAACGAGAGGCAAAAGAGCCAATTATTCATGAGAGTTCACGAGAGTCACTCTAACAATTCGAAATCTTTTCTTTCTTTTCCTTTTTTTTCATACTTTTTTTGATATTTTCTTTTTTTTTCCTTTAATTCTCCTCGCTCCTATACACGGTGTGTCATGCTTGTGTGTCTTTCTAGATCGTAATACCGAGTCGAAATCATTTGCACACATACACACAGATGCATATATTATATAGCTTCGTTAATTAACATACACACACACATACACACACCACACACTTTTGCGTACGATGCGACTCTCTTGATGCAACTGCCTTCGAGCAAGCTCTCGCGAAGTGTTCAGAAGCTGGTGTGACGTGCAAGCGTATACGCTACGGAATGATAAAAGTCGATGAGCGAGCATATGCGAATCCGGCTGCGGTCGTGAGGAAAAAATGCATCGATGACGATTTTTTCATTATTTCCTATCTTTTTTTCAATAACGAGTCTCTAAGGTGTTCGTCTAGCAACTCGTAGCTTCATGGCAATGTTCTGTTGATGAGCAATCAAGTTTCCTTTTCCAATTAGTCCGATTTACACAACATCATAGACGAACACGACCGACGGCGACACACGTTTAGAATTACTGTTTTTGCTGGTGGCGGTGATAACGAGCTTTAATTCGAAGTGTCTCTTTACAAGCGTGATGCGAAAATCCGGATGCAGGCATGAGAGAAGTCCGTTTACGAGAAGCACGGTAAAAGCGCAAGAAATGAATGTAGCTTATTGAAAAGATACACGCAGGGAAAACGCACGTTAATGTTAATTTGTTCATATTAATTACAAAGGAAATTTAGATCTTGTTTATGGAAGAAATGAGATTTTTTTCATTATCTTGTAGCAAATGAAAATAGCAAATTGCTGTGTCTTTTATCATACATGACACTTTCTTGCAAGATAATTCTATCTGATACTCGCGTGCGTGAGTGAAGATTTTAGCGCGCTATTGCGGAACAAATTCACAAGCTATTTAATCCTCGCATCACACATCGTTCTCTTATCGCTAAACTGTATGCACTAGAGTCCAGCTTGGTAGCACTGTAATCAATCAAGTTATCATGCAAATGCTATTGAACAGAACTGATGGGTGTGATAGAAATTCTGTGGACGAGAAGCCGCTTGAATACCGTGTATCTATGCCTCGGGCATTGAGTGAATTATGAATTCGCTTTTGACACGTGCTCGATCATGGAAGCACAATTTTCAATTCCTCGTTGCTGCGAGTGAAACTGAAATATTCTCGCATCGGAAAGTGAAAAGACGTCTCGTTCCCGCAATCCTAGTCCACTCAACTACGTTGTGTGCGATCTCGCTTCATGCTACAACAAGATATCACAAAGAAGTTTCTCTCTATCCGTCTACATTTGTGTAAAGTCTGATCGAACGAACGAATGTACACAAATGGCTAATGACATTCAATCTTGCAGGATACCGTCACGTTAAAAAATCATAGTGTCGCTGATTCTACTTATATCTCGTTATCCCTTTTCTCTTTCTTTTCTTGAAAAAAAATGAAATATTGTATGAAATTTCTTCAATTTCTCAAAAGTTCACTTAGAAACGACGGGATGCTTTAGCCAATAAGACAAGACGTCATTGTTAATGTTTTCCTTCTTCTTTAACGAGACTGTATGACAATTCATTGCATACAACGCGAAACACGAAGAAGATGTAGTTATCGAGTAGACCAGCATCTCCTATATATAAATTTCCTGTGCGTAAAATATGTCAATCAAGAATCTACGGGGAAGCGGATGCAGATAGCAAGTGTAGAAAAAATATTTTGCAAAGAGAGATAGAGAAAGATAAGTAGATAAGATAGATAGACACACAGATAGATAGAGAGATATAAATGTAAAAAGACTGACAGACAGACACACAGAAATAACATCAAAGTTACACTGAGAAGATGACAGTGTTCGGTGGTCAGGTGGTGGTGGTGTTGGTGATGTGAGGAAGGGGGGCGCTACACTGAAACATTCAGGCCTCTTTGCACAACGGCCAGTTCACAGTTATTTAGATTAATCGTATCAGATAGATAGTCAGAAATCAGCATTCAGATCCTGTTCTCAGAGAAAAGAAGCGCACGAAGAATAGAGGAAGACGAACTTCTCCCGAACAGTCGTAAAGAATTATTCGTTAATTACTAACTGATAATAACTGATGTTAGAGATCGTAGACGATTAAGAGAATTATCTAAATGCTGACAGTTAATTGCTCTTACGAGCGGAACCTAAGAGCAGGAGGAAAGAATTTACTGCTTCGTTCGCTGAATATCGACAGTTTCTTTGAAAGAGAAAGAAAGAGAGAAAAAGAGAGAGAGAGAAAAAGAGAGAGAGAGAGAGATTGATCGGCACGACCGAAAATTACATGAAGAGCAACATGTAATTAAAACAGGAAGTAACAGTCGTAACAAGAAAAAAGAAATGTATGAGATATCCGAGCGGAAATGTATGTCTCAGGTATCGTAAACGCGATTTGCTTTGTTTTCTAGGGAGAGTATATGTCCGGCATAACTATCTAAGGTCTTGCAACGGATCTTTAATCTACAGAGAATCAAAGTAGAAATGAGTTTCGAGACACGACTCAATGGACAGTAATCTTTCCTACAGAAAACTCTCAGGTTTAACTAATAATCACTTAAGATTCTAACATTTTAACCATTTGAGGTAACATACATTTACCATATACCATAGGTCGTTGTTTTCAAAGTAACAGTAGTAAATATTATGATACGTGTACGATGAGAAAATGCACGCCAATGTGACGCGCGGACCACTTTTCGTAACGCAATTATATATCACAGTACTTTAAAGCGCTCAATTTCGAGAAATTATAATCTCAAGAGTCCTCAAAAAGTTAAAAATTTTTAACATTAAAATACATTATTGCAGATGAGTATATTGCATTGTTATTCACTACAAATTAAGTAGCAAATTAAAATAGTATAAAGCATTCAGAGCATGCTGCTAATTTCTCGTTATCATCATTATTCGTAGTTCAATTCTAGTAGTTTTCTGAGAAGCAAGTACGTTATCTTTTTTATATTATCTAAGAGATCTTCTAATAAAACTCGAGTTTTACTTCAATAGTCAATCGTTAAGAAGTTTAACAGTTGCCGAAATGTATCATAGCGAATGTACAGAGATTCTAGATATTAGTTTCAAACTATATTATGCATCTCTCAAATTTTGTACTAGAAAGCACTGATCTAAACGAATCAACAAAACACTGTACATTATATATATATATATATGTATGTATAAACACAATCACATGTCATTTTCTATATGGATGCATTATCTATGACAAATCACGATCTGCTTACTTAATTAGTAGTTACTGCTTTTCTCAGAACCAAACGAAAAGAAATGTATTCTAGGAAATTAATATAGAGAACTTTTTTCTCAGTGACTTACATCACTTAACAATTCATACTGTACTCAATGATCTTTTTTCAACGCTTCGCATATCTTTAGAAAAAAAGTGTCTTCATATACATACTCTATTTATACACGAGATATATAAGTTGTGCTCTTATATACACATATCTGTATATAATTGTATAGATATATATGTACACATCATCTCGTAAAAGTACGTAATATATATATATATCGGTTCAAGGAGAATAATATATCAATTTTAAAGTAAAGAACAAAGAAAAATGTGTTTCCACATATGTACCTTTATCCTGGAGACGGCTTCCTCCGCTTGACACATTCGCGTCGACTTTGTCGGCTGACCTTCGCATACCAATTGTGTGGATCCCAAGTACCTTGCGCGAAATAGCACACCCTCGATCAACACTGAAGGATCGTCCAGTAAGTCTGAAAGTGCCACAGACACGTACCATTTAGAACTCTTGACCTCATTTCTTTCGCAATTCAGTGCACCAAAGGCAACTAAGTGTTCCGAGAAATATCGAAGCGGCCTAATAGTGGATACGGGTGTAACGTTCAACAGCGTATCCTCTTGTCCCGCTTCGCTCGAATCTCTCGAAGTTAATATTTTGGTCCTCATGTCACGTGTAACACAAAATTACAAAACTTTCGATACTGTACACTCGTCCTCGTGAAAATAAGTTGGAACGTTCACTTTGCTCTTGTATTTGCATTGATTAATGATACAGTTAAACGCGTAAGAAAATCGAAACGGACTCTATATTTGAAATTTGCAAAACATTCTGCATTCATTGAACGTCGCATTTTGCGAGGCACTCGCGAGACTCGCAAATATCACACGTATTAATACTACTCAAATACACTTGCTAATCTTATCGAGGAATTTATAAATATCCAATATGCATGAAAACATTCTCTTCCAACCGACGAGCGAGATCTACAGGTGACAAATACATACAAACACTACGTTTTAGAAAACCTATCACGCGTGTTGAGAGACAGTCACGCAAAGATAATTAAACGTCAGACCATCAGAAGAGATTATATAAATGTGTTAAACCATGCAGAAATGTATAAAATATACTACAAGTGTATGTATGTGTAGTCGTAGTTCTAGTGATATAATTAATAGAATTCTAATTGTAAAATGTACACAGAATAAGAGAGATACCTACCATGTAAAAATAATGAGAGACAGATGCCGAGTTTGTGTATCCAAGCAAGCAATAGGAAGAAATATTATATTAGTACTGTATTATAATCGTTAATGTAAGAAGAGAAGAATTATATTGACGAGAATGCGACAATACCTTCTTTGTTTCTGCTCTTTTTCTTCCCCTCCTTGTCCTGGAAAACAGAACAAACACGGTACATTTTATATGATGGCACAGATAAAACTTTGATAGAATGAACGATGACAATTTAATCCCGCAATGATCATGTACGTAATCATTTAAGCTATTGGATACGTGTGCTAACCATGCAGTAACTGCCATATAACAGTCAGTAAACATTGAAATGTTCTTGTTTATATCTATAAATAGCAGTCATAATAGTGTTAGTATAGTAATGGTAGTAATAGATATCAGTAGAGTAGCAGAAAGAGCATTTAAATGTTATCAATGTTTTCATTCTCTTTTTTGCAAAAAGCAATTGTAACAATTATTTGTTCCATTCGACGTATAAAAAGGAATTATATGAAGTACGTTATTTATTACCATTAAACATTATTTTAGTCAATCAAACAATAAGCAGAGTATGGTTAAATACTGTGAATAAATGATGATTCAAAGTACGCACTATTCTTATGAACACAGCATTTAAACAATTCTTGTAGCAAACAAGCATAATAAGCGAGAGGCGTGAAGAAAAAATGAAGCAACTGGATAACACTGAAAGAATACCCTTTCTTATGAAAAAAAAAAGAAAAATCAGCTTAAACATTGATCAACTATTCATTAGCTATGACACTACAAGTATTTGATTATTGCTGGAAAAAACGTGTTTGCGAAATTTACATGTAAGTTTGTATTTAAGTTGATTAATTTTTGTGTGTGTATATATATGTATATAAATATATCTCGTTTATATAGCAACAGAAGGATAGTATTGTCATGCACCAATATGTGCTATGTTATCACGGTTGACTAGAGATACAAACATCTACATTTTTCTAAAATATATTCCGCAGTAGCATTTTTGAAAGGGCACCTTTTTCACCTTGTTGTTGGATTCCTTGAGACTCTGAGGGGATGTGGGGGAATTTTTGACTGGGGTCTTCTGCGGACTCGACGTAGGTTGCGCGGGAGTGGCTACTTCGCACTCAGAAGACGGTGATTGTATAACAGACACTACGGGAGGAGGAGAGATCGAGGTAGACGTCGAGGGCAAGGGCTCGGAAGGTGCTAGCGTCTCTATCGGGGCAACACTCAGGGTTTTGGGAGGGGTTTGCTTTGGAGTAGCGACTTTCGCATTCATTGGTGGTAACATTGTCCTAGTTTTAGGCTTCCTCCACCCCTGCATAACACCAAGACAATATTAGTAGAACACCACTGCTATTCAATCGCACAGAATAAGAGAAATGTGTATATTATTCATATCCTTCTTTCAAATTTCTTTAAATATATACGGTGGGGACACCACCTCTCAATATCACCTAGTGAGAATATTACAGTGTATGCATGTGTATAGAGAATATGTTGTTACAAATGTAATTGCACTTGTATATTTCCAACAAAACATTAACTATGTAGGAACAAATATAGGAGAACGATTTATCGGTGTAACGAGGATTAATGAGAACAACACGATCTGATGGAATATCGGCAAACATATGCTCACCTTGTCATCGTAAAATCCTTGATCGTCCGTTCTCTGTTGACCGAGCAGTCGATCCGTCTCGAGATCGGTGTCCGCCTCTTCTTCATCCGGACACTCCTCTATCTCCACGTCAGCCTCGTCACCCACACGACGCGCTTCTGATTCTTCGCTGTTGCTCTCCATACAGACTCTCCGCCTGCCATCCATTATACTATATCTTAGTTAGATGCGTTTATGCGCGAAATACTGAGTTAGCCAAAGGGTATCCCAAACGTATGTTCAACCCGACGACAAGCGAGTGCTCACAGTGATAACGAAGAAGTGCAAAACAATGCAACCGGGGTAGAAAGATCGGACGAATATGTACGATCCACAACAATTGGAATACCCTTATCCGCATAGAACAAAACGTAAGATACCTTGGTATCCATATCGGACTGACGCTTGGTTCTGGCGGGTCCTCGGATGGTGATTTCACAGGTAGAGTTTTAGTCCTTTGCAGCGCCATCCTTATATCCTTGATGGCCGCCTCCACCTCGCCGCCTATTTCTAAATTTACACTTTGCCGACCTTGAGGCGCCGGCGGCGGAGGTGTGCCCAGCGGATCCAATCCGTCGAGCTGCAACTCGTTCGTGTCGTATGAGTTCTCCTTTTTCGCGACGAACAGATCGGGTGACGTGCTCTTCAGCGTGTGTAAAATGTCCTTCGTCACGTTCATACTAACGTCCTTCCCGGAGTCGTTCTCTGTGCCTAACATGTCGTTACGAGTTCTCTGTATGATCTCCTTCTCGATTTCATTGATCTGTCGCTTCATGAGCATCACAGTGGGATTATTGTTGTCGGTATCGCTCGCGTGCCCACTAGATAACCCATCCTCCAATACTGGCATGCTGGTGTATATTCTCAGGGAATCCGAATTATTCCCCAAATCGCCGACCGAGCCCAGGAGACCACTTGCCGGCATCAATTCATTATCCATCATCATGAGGGACACTTCGCTGTCCAAGTCCCCGCAATTACTGTCGCAATCAGTCGTTTCAGGGCTCAGCGTGAAATTGCGCGAGTGTCCCACTTGTAAACCGACCTCGGTTTCCCCGAGGTCTTCGCTGCTACCGGTGCCTACAGAGAGGTCCAAAAAGTTGTTCTCGTGTTCACCTGTCTGAAAGAAGCAAGAAATACTGAGCGTAAGTGTTTATTTCGCAACGACGTGTCGAAATTTCAATTATGAAAAGATCGGAATCGTATAGCGTAAGTATTAAAATGCATCTATCTATAAATACTATCTACAGAGTTATATTTAGAAATCAACTACTGGAGCAAACACAATTTCTAAATACTAATTTCTATTAATATCTCGTACAATTAGTAGTAACACTATTGAATTGTAGAAATTTTTGTTTATTGTACTCAAGTTTATAATATAAGTAAACAATGAGTTTTGTTTAAAATTTTATCAACACAAAAACAAGTTGATACAGTTTAAATGAACGAAATAAATAAAGCAATTTTAAAGGTAAACGTTTTTTATAGATTTCATACTTACATTTTGTGGAAAATCTGCCCGTTGCTTTTTAGGAGATTCATGTACCATAACCTCCTCTGTCGTTGGTGGGCCACTAGCTAATCGCTGACCGACGTATGCACTTCCTCCTTGCCTTCGCAGTTCATAATCGAGATCCTTGAACGCAATGAAAATGACTTGTTAATTATTCATAATTTATAAGTTCAAATTAACTCCTCTGTTACGTGTGCGTCTTTTACTGATTATAGCAAGAATTATATAGTAATTTTTGAGGTTTTCTCTCAGATGTCTCTTCAGGCAGAATATTTTAATATTCAACAAATAAAATATTATAAATCTATGTACAAATAGTACATATTTCTAATATCCCAAGAAGCAGATAGATAAAGAACTTACCTGGAAAGGAAAGGATTCTATATTGTTTTCCTTTTCTTTCGTTGGCGCCGGACACTTGAAAAATTCCTCCAATACTTTTCGTGTCTCCGAGAATTCGTATAGATAGTCGAAAGTGCTACCTCCTGGCGAAACAAGACTGCTTATATTATCGGCAGGTAAAGTCGATGGCTTCAAAGAGTCCTCCTCTTCTTCTTCGACCTTTGGTGATGGTGGTGAAGGATTCACAGACTGATCCTCAGTGCTAATATTTTCTATCACAGTCTTGTCTACAACAATTTCTGCAGAGGTATCTTCCTTCTTGAAGGAAAACAGATAAGGGAGATATTACAGATAAAAGATTAGTGAGTATTATGGATGATTTGTGCAATTTTTTCTACATACCTCATTGTGATTTGGTGTTGTCGGCAATACTCTCTGTGGAAAACCAGGCCTTGGTGTCATATACATAGAAGGCGACGATAATAAGCTAGGAAGCTGTGGATTCTCACGAACTCCATAACGTCTCGGACTGCCGGAATATTGTGCGATTGGCAATTCACCAATGACTCTCGCGACTTTGTGGTTACGTTCCGGGGAAGGAGAATCCGCCTCGCAATCGCTCGCCGGCGTTACCACCTACCGAGATAAAAGCGTGAAATGATAATATTCATAGGAACTTCGCTGTTCCTCTTTTACGCGTATTTGTCGTTTGCTTACTTTGAAAAATTCCGAAGTATTGCGGTGATATGCCGTCGTAGGACTAGGAGTGCTCCCGACGCTGGAACTTGGTGGTTCTGGTGCGATACGACCTCTCTGAGAATCGTCCGTTTCCAAGTCCAGATTCGTCGTCGTGATTTGGTTCGTGTTGCTAGATGCCAGATCTAATCGCAACCCCTGCCAATTGTCGTCGATATCGTCGAAGACAACCACCTCACCGTCGCTGACGATGGCCATACTTCTCGCGGGCGTGTTGTGATTCGACTGATAATCTACGCAGCTCTTTGGTAATCCATAGTCCAGGTCGGTAATACTTTTTGGTGTAGTGTACTCTACATTATTGCTATTTAAGATTGAATCGTAATTAATTATGCGATTGCTACGGTTGCTCTTGGGGGAGTCGTAATCGAGAATCAATTTCGTGGGGTTGCGCCGTACTGAGTGCACTTCGGAGGCAAACACGGTCTCTGTCACTTCCCGATTCGCGCGTTGCTTTCTAGTCTCGCCACATCTGAAAATTTAAATGTCACAGATGTAAGAAAGATTCTATGGAGAATATTCATATCTTACATTTAAAATTATTTCAAGTTCATCTTCAGATACTGTATGGATCATTATATTGGCTACGTAGCATCTGGAGGTCAACGATGAATCTTCTCCCTTAGTGTAAATTTGTAAAAAGTGAAAGATCTAATTTTGAAAATATATGAAAATATTTACTTTTCACAAGTTTACATTGAAGAGGAAGATTTATGATCATCTCCAAGTACTATAAAATTATTCACTTTTCATGATTTTGTACTAGGAAAAAAAAAATAATTAATAAGTTGAGTTTATGTGAAAAGATTCATGATTAATGCTCTGCAGGTGAACTTGAGATGGTCTTAAATATATAAGATCAGGCTATGAATACTATCTTATATAAACAGTATTACAGATCTATGACTGATTGCTAGAGACTTAGTTACCGGCTTCGTAGTTCCCATATGGTCTGTGTGTTGGGAGACTTGTTGTTCTTCTTGACAGATAGCTTATTATCAGTTGAAATATCCTCGTTATTTATGGAATTTGAGGCAGCCAGAAATCGTGATTTTCGTGCTGCTACCTTCCCACGGCTCTGTGAGAATACCTCTCGTCCACCAGCAATTTCTATGATTCTGCGGAACAACACAAGACCATTATATACTTGTACAAATGTGCAGCAACTTGTTTTCAAGATTCTACAGAGTAACCTGGATTCTACAGTCATTCTCTTTAAGTTTCATCCTACGTAAATTCAAGGTCAATTATTGAGACAATTGCGTGCGAGACTAACATAACAATACAGGTGTCATTTGCTGCAGGAGAGAGAGAGAGAGAGAGAGAGAGAGAGAGAGAGAGAGAGAGACAGACAGAAAGACACAAGATGAGTAAAAAAATACCTATAACTCTTCCATCTTACTTAAATCGAAGCTACTTCAAGACGCTACGCATCGCTACCGAAACGTGCAACGCATTCTTCGTGAAATTATTATACTTCTTCAGTAACCGAAGCACATCGGTACAGCCCTGTCACAAGTGTCGACGTTGAATTTAGTAGCCAGCAAAAATGACATTCACACGACATGATGCAGCGACGACGAATAAATCTCGTCCCGTCGCCTCACTGGGTCGAGAAGAGCTGCGTGGTCTGTGCGGCGGTGTGTACAATTCGCGGAACGGAATTCAACGTTTCGCGTGACAGGTGAGTTAACCCCAAAAAGCTGACGCGTGGTACTACGATCGCTCTCGTCCGTTGTTGCGCGCGCGCGCGCGCGCCCCCGTGACGATCGCGCAGCCCCCCCATAATTTACACCGTGATTGCATTTAATATGCCCGCCGGCGCCCGCCTTGCCGAACTAATCTCATCCTTACGCGCAATTTGTCAGTCTTTGGGATGCGGCCCGTCGACCTGGAATGCTTTATTGAAAGATATTCATTGGGACCACTGACGCGCCTGAGGATCACGGCCGAGGTGTTGACGCAAGAGCGCGCGTGTGTGTGTATATATAATATGAGTGGTGTATATGTGTGTTATGTATGTGTGCATATGTGTGTGTGGTATGTGCGCGCACGCATACGACGACGAGAGAACAGGCGCGACTTTTAATCTCTCGTAAACTCCCGCCTAACTCTCGATATACTTCGCGTCGTTTTTCGATAACGAACTCTGATCTTATCTCTTCAACGAAGTCAACATCACGGAGAGCAGTGCCGGATAAGTAAGTGGCGCACGATGCTACGTTATAACGTGAGTGAAACTCTTTTTACCCGCGAGAAATAATAAATACGGCACGGTAGGCAGGCGGGATAACCTCAAATCGCAGTACAATCAGATCGCTGCTATTTTATAACCGTGTACGCGCACACACGGCATTTCTGGGCATTAACGTAAAGCCATCACAGCGGCAGATTACAACCAATAAATAAATCAATAGTGCGTGGAATCAGAAAATCTCTCATAACCTAGTTGCATCGCGTGTATTCAGGTTATTTTACCGCAGTTGGCGTACGTTGAGGACAGTTACAACAAAATTAGACCGTGTGTACTTTTGCGTTTCGATATTCACTGCCAGTACTGAAAGTCTACAGTACAACATGAACTGCAGATTTTCAGTACTGGCGCAGTGAATATCGGAATGCAGCCTTTATCGATTGCTTATGCGATGCGACCGGATTCTCTCGTCGGTCTCCAGACAAACTTGACAATCAAGTTATTTGGATTTTTTTCAATTTTTACCCCGCCATTTTTCAAATTAGCGCGCCATTACTCCGTCGGTATAAAAACTTTACACCTTAGTGTGTCGTATGAACAGTTACGAAGTGATTTATAAAGCAGGAATTAAATTTTGAGTTACAAAGCAGAAGTATAAAGTAATGCGCGTTTTTGGTTTCGCAAGTCGAAATCTAACATAACATGACTCAAATCCGAACATATATTTTCCGGTCACACATGTGCCCACGAAAATTGCATTTAATTGGATTTTAATCGTTTCCAGAGTGTGATCCGAATTCGATTCAAACGAGAATGTCGAAAATTTCGACACGCTCACGTTTGAAACATTCAAATTAAACACGTTTCCAATTTGTCCGTGACAAAATAGCTCTGTTTTGTACAGAAGTAAAATATAAAAATATATATATTAGGTATGTTATAAAAAAGGAAATACAGTGGTGCATATCGCGCACGGCTTTAGCGTACAGCTGCCCGGTGTTGTAATTAAAAATTCTCCAGATTAAGGGTGACTTTCATCAAATTCCAATTAAGCTAATTGACGATTAACCTGCAGAATTACCAACAGCAATTTCCAACCATGCAATTTGTCGTCCTATGATAACAAAAAAAGTTGTTATAATTCCGTGTATGTTAGCAAAATTAAGCAAATGAGATATTGGATTAGCAATATTTTAAATTTTAATTATAAATTATAAAGGAAATACGAGAGAAAGAGAGAGAGAGAGAGAGAGAGAGAGAGAGAGAGAGAGAGAGAGAGAGAGAGAGAGAGAG